GAATCACTCTCTCTGCTTCTCCAGGAGTGTTTCATAATGTAAAATGAAAGCCAGGTGAGAGTCTTGGCACTTAAGGGAAAGGTTCCACAATTGGGTTGCCAGACATCCAGTTTTGGACGGGAATGCACAGTTGAAAAAGGATCCTGGCGGCTCTAGTCAGCACTACCAACCAGGCCATTAAAAATCCAGTTGGTGGTGCAGTGGAGGCCTGGGGTTAAAGGCAGTCTTCCTACCCGCCCTGTCTCCGCAAGGCTCCTGGAAGTAGCTTCCATGTTCGGGAGAAGAGCTCTGCGTAAGTTCTAAAACTTGTCTCTCTTCCCAACAGAAGTTGACCCAGTAACAGGTAATAGCTCACTCACCCACCTAGTCTATTTAGACTTACAACAGGCATAATCATCACACTACAGTACACAACAGTAATTCTAACTCAGGAACCAATCTCTGCAACAAACCTCGGTGCCAACTCTGCCCACATATCTACACCAGCAACACCATCACAGGACCTAACCACATCAGCCACACCATCATGGGCTCATTCACATGCATATCTACCAATGTACTATATGCCATCATGTGCCAGCAATGCCCCTCTGCCATATACATCGGCCAAACTGGACAGTCCCTACGTAAAAGAATAAATGGACACATTTCAGATATCAGGAATGGTAATATACAAAAACCTGTAGGAGAACACTTCAATCTCCCTGGACACACAGTAGCAGATTTAAAAGAAGCCATCCTGCAACAAAAAAACTTTAAAAACAGACTTCAAAGAGAAACTGCAGAGCTACAATTCATCTACAAATTCAACACTATCAATTTAGTATTAAACAAAGACTTTGAATGGCTAGCCAACTACAAAAGCAGTTTCTCCTCTCTTGGTGTTCACATCTCCACATCAACTGCTAGAAGTGGGCTTCATCCTCCCTCACTAAATTGACCTCGTTATCTCTAATCTTACTCTTGACTAGAACTCTTTTCTTATGTCTGTATATTTATACCTGCCTCTGGAATTTCCACTACATGCACCTGATGAAGTGGGTCTTTGCCCACAAAAGCTTATGCTCCAATAAATCTATTAGTCTATAAGGTGCTACAGGACTTCTCGTTGCTTTAACAGGCATAATGTGAAAACTCTTTGCCAAATTTTAGAGTGCATTTCTGACCTGAAAAGCAGCCTATCTAAATAAAGCCTTCTTGTTCATCAGATCAGTTATCTCTGTGTATTCAGGGTGATTTCTCCATTGACAAAAATAAAATCTTACTAGTAATTTTTACTTTGGTTAGCAATGCAGAAACAACTGAGCTAAGAGTGTGTGAACTAGGTTCTATTCCTTTTGTATTAACAGAACTGTATACTAATTGTGGTCCTTCCTGCAGAGTGTTTCCTACTTCTGAATCAAACTCATTGATGGCAACCAGACTGCACAGATGTCTTTTAGAGAATAATTTGACCTGAAGAACTTTTATTACTGGTAATAATGCATGCAAAGTAATGATCTCACTTGACTGGCGGAGACCAGGATGAAGTTAATGAGCCAGCAGCTAGAAAAATCCATCTTTTAATTTGTAAACTAAGCACATTTCATAGTGTGTGCGCTTTAGCCCTGTAGAGAATTAACTTTTCATTGAAATTATTGCAGTAATCTGTAGAAATGAATAAATCAGCCCATGTTTCCTGTGCCTCCTTGACTTCTCCATACTGTGTGCCTCTTGCTGTTTCCCTAATGCATAAACATACACAAATCTGCATTTTTCTAAAACATTCCTTGATTTCTCTGCCAAAAAACACCAAAAACAAAAAACCCCACTCCACGAGAGGCCTGATTCATTTCTGTGTTACTTTAGCTTTATGGAGTTGTACCACCATTTAGAATCACTGGAGTTGTCTCAGTGCAAAGCTGGAGCAATACAATGGTGAATAACACCCCTAAAAGAATATTTTTAAATGAGTTCATTAAACTTTTAATCTCTGTTTAGCTCATGCTTTCTGAATATTACTGGGAGACATTTAAAAGTGAAGATCATAGCAAATATGTGGTCCATCTCTACATAAACCAGGAATCCATCTGTTTGCTCTTGTAGCCGCAGGAAAACCATGTGAGAATTCTAACAGCATGAAAAGGATCTTAGCTTTTCCAGGATTCATGCAAACCACACAGGCAATTTATTAAAATGTACCAGGAGGAAATATTTGGAGCAATTGCTACATAATTTATACACTGGGTTGCTGAAGGATGGATTGTAAAAAGACAGCTGATGCCGATCAAAGGAATCGTTAATGTGCTGTGGAAGTTATTTGGAGGTTTGGCACATGCTGACTTCTTTAAACTGATTCCTTTGAGCAAGTTTCTTGATGCCTCTAAGTTATGCAGTGCCTATAGGAAAGTTTCTTAAAGGCTCAAAAATAAAGGAGGCAAGTGGTGAAAAAAAGCTTTCTGATAACCTCTGGGGCAACATGAAACTTGGATAGACTGGATTCTTTATTATTGGCCAGACAGTACCAAGTGTTCATGTGAGGTGGAAAAGCTCAACAAGCCATCAGGAGGAGGTAGGGGCCACTGATGAGTGGGCCATGTGCTGAGAGGAAGGAAAAGGACTGATGACAGAGATGTGAAATGAAAGAGTCAGAATGAAGAGGAGGGAGGAGTCTTGGAAGGAGGTAAAATGGGAGCGGGTGGGAAATATCTACAGTTGACATCTGACCACTATAAAAATTATCAGACAATTGCCAAGAACACATGAGGAATCTTCATTATGGAGGAACTGGACTTTGGGTTCAAAGAAGGGGGGCTTGTGTTTGTGTGCCTGCAGTCTGGAACTACTTCTTAGTGGTACTGGTGAACCTCAGTACCATCAGCAACTTCACACCAGGCCTGGAGATTTATTGGGTGCCACTAACAACTTTATACACACAACCCTTCTATTGCCAGGACTGAAATGGAGTCCCAATGGACACTGCAATTTCACTCCCCAGCATTCCAAGCTCCTGGCTAAGACTCCATCACTGCACTCAGAAAAGAGGACAAAGAGTTTGGACTCTTACACTATGTCTACACTGCAGAGTTTTTTTTCCAGAAAAATGAACGTTTTTCAAAAAAAAACCCAAAAACCTCCAGTTACGTGCATACTGCAGTCATGCTCTTTCAAAAGAAAATTGAAAGAACTCAGGGTTTTCTTCCCGACATTGGTAAACCTCTTTCTACGAGGAAGAAGCCTTTTTCCAAAAGAGCTCTTTTTGAAAAAGGTTTAATTGGATGGGGAAGAGGGAGTTCTTTCGAAAGAAGAGGAAAGAGGAAAAAGCACAGGGGCCTGGTGGCCATTCCGCCCATAGCAATCACAGCTTACATGCGAGATAGCATCCATTCAATGTGGACGCTATCTTTCGATAAAGCAGGTCACTTTTTCAATGCACTTTTGCAGTGTGGATGCTCTCTTTTGGAAGAAGTTTTTTTGGAAGATCTCTTCCGGAAAAGCTTCTTCTGAAAGACGCCTGCAGACTAGACATAGCCTGCGTGTTATTTATGATTTGTACAGTAGCCCCAAAAGTCCACAACTTGACTTACTGTGCTGGGCGCGGTATGAACACGTGGAATAGGCTCTGCCCCGATGAGCTTATATTTTAATTAGAAAAGACAGACAAAAGGGTGGGAGGAAAGGAATTATTATCATACTCATTTTACAAATGGGGAATTGAGGTGCACAGACATGAAATAACTGGCCTACAGTCACACAAACACACAGGAAGTCTGTGGCAGAGCAAGGGACTGAACCCAGATGTCGATAATCACATAAATCTGGTCATAGTGGTTATGAAAAAAATAGTCCCCATAGACCATTAGCAGGCAAGTAAATATGCACAACTGGTTAATAGACCTCTCTAAGCTCTTGTTCTGAACCCCTTTCCCAAAACACTCCCCCAACTCAATAAACTAATACATCTCCTTGAGGACTTAAGAAAAGTGCACATTGGGCCAAATTCATCCCTCATGGATTCCTCTTGTGTGGGTCAAGGTAGTGGAGTAATGACACCACTCCATTTAGAAGAAGATTATTGTGCATGTAAAAATAGCAGATGGTTCAGAACTTACCACTGTTGCTGCGTTTCCTGTTAATATCAAACATGCTTCCTGAACCATCCACTTCCTCAGGAACTTCTGCGAGGTCTGAAGTCTGCAAGAGAAGAGAGGGTGAATGGGACTGGATAAGGAAGAAAGTGAATAATGAGGTGAAATAAAGTCATACAAGGGCATTAAATGAAAGCAGCAACTTGGGAGTGTGAGCGTAGAGAGAGTCAACATGAAGAGATTTGCTGATAACATGCCATCCAAAGGGGCAGTTCAAATTCTCAATAGGAAGCATCAGGAAATCCAAATGAAATGTGATTTCCAGTGCACAATAGGTTTCTAGACAGCAGATGAAGTTGGGATTTAGGAGTTAATAAAAAATTGTTTAGGAGCTTCAGGGTAGGTGAGCTATTCTGTTACAGAAAAAAACATCAAATGGTCTAGTAGCACTTTATAGACTAACAAAATATGTAGATGATATCATGAGCTTTCGTGGGCACAGCCCACTTCTTCAGATGACCGGAGTATGTGTAGGGGATATGAAAACTCGAAATAAATAGGTGAGGGAAAGGAGAGGGGGGAGAAAAGAAAGAAAGAAAAAAAGGAAAAAGGAAGAGGGTGTGAGACAAGGCATCATTAAGTATCTGAAGAATGGGTACTTAAACCTAAGCAGATCACAGAGTAGCTGTTTTTTGGTGCTTGAAAATGTTTATTTGCAGTTATACTTCATAACGCTCTATAACAATTAATTGACCATTTATAAAACATATATGATTCATGCATTAACATTGTACAAACACTTATAAACATATCCTTAACATAAAGTTTGACCTTAATTTCTCCTATTTGCTGTGGAAGAAAGCTCAGGAGTGTGAAAGACTGCTGAAATTAATTATATAACCGCTGGACTAATTTATTATCTCCAGGATAATAAAAAAAACCCTGAAAGTGAAATGCCTTTGTTAGGCTTATTTTGTGTATTAGTTGTACTGCAGTAGTGCCTAGAAGCTCCACTCAGGAATAATACTCCCATGGTACTAGATCAGGGATGGGCAAAAGGGCCTCCACGGGATGAATTTGGCCCACCAAGAGGGTTGATCTGGCCAATGAAGGCCCTGCTGTCATGCTCTCCAGGCAGGGCAGGAGGAGACTTCATGTGGTCTCCTGCCCCCAAACTCTGATTGGCCTGGGGACAGAAGGGGTAGTGCGCGAACGCTCCTTCTACCACTGGGGCATGGGCGCCTAAGGGAAACCTCTGGGGCGGGGAGGCAAAGATTTCACACGCTCCCCCACCACCAGACCAATTATGGTCTATGGGTGGGGAAGCAGGAAAGTATCCTGGCCCCACACCTTCTGCCTGAGGCCCGCCCCTTCTGGTGCAGCCTGGGGCCACTTAAAAAATTTCTCAAGTGGCCCTCTGTAAAAAATTATTGTCCACCCCTATGCTAGATGCTATACAGAGGACCACACAGATCCACATCCCAGAAGTACATAGGCTAAGGGCCAAAGTCTGATTCTGTTACTTGTGTTGAGTAGCAACCTTCAGGTACGTCTACACTATGGTGGTACTTCGGGATACTTCCGGTATCCCAAAATAGCTATTCCACGTCTTTTAAACAAGCCCGTTATCTCAAAATAGCTTTTGAAAGAATGGGCACACTATTCTGATGTCCCTGTAAACCTCATTCCATGAGGATTAAGGGATGTTTCGGAATAGCGCTCTATTTTGTGCCAAATTTTGAAATAAGCTATTTTGAAATACACTCGAAATAAGCTATGGAATTTGTGTAACTGCAATTATGTAGCTTATTTTGAGCTACGGGTACAGTGTAGATGCACCTTTCTATAAGACTAGTTCCATTGGAGTAAGGAGTTATGTGGAATAAGAGTATCAGAATCTGACCCTATGAAGCTTCAGATTCTGAATTCAACATGCTCCTCTACCTTGGGGATTTTTTTTTAAATCCCTAAAACTCAGGAGTCTTAGGCATTTTCTAGTCTGAAAACCCTATTTCTTTTTGTATATTCCTAACAATTGTTTGTTTCTCGTTAAAAATCTTTTAAAGATGCCTTTGAGGATTTCATCCTACCATTTAATTTCTTCATGATACCATGTAATTATACTGTACATACAAGTAAACCCACTACTTTGCAGGCCTACGCTTTCATCAGCAGAAGGAAAGACAAAACAAAAGTGTACTCCAGCTATGTTTAAAGGTCACCATAAATGATGAGGCATTCTTTCACAATTTTCTAAATACTGTTTTCTGTCACATGTTTATAGCAAAGCCGCTTACTCATAGACCCAGAGACTTTAAAACCAGAAGGCACTGTTGTGATCATCCAGTGTCTGACCGCCTGTACATTGTAGGCCACAGACTCTCATTCACCCCTCTCCTGTAATAGAACCATAACTGCTGGCTGAGTTACTGAAGATCTCAAATCACGGTTTAAAGACTTCAAGTTTTGGAGAATCCATCATCTACTCTAGTTCAAACCAGACCCATGCCCCATGCTGCAGAGGAAGGCAAAAAGCCCACAGAGTCATTGCCAATCTGACCTGGAGAAAAATTTCTTCCTTATTCCAATCAATTAGCCCCTGATCTTATGGGCAAGAACCACCAGCCAGACACCTGGAAAAGAGTTTTTTGTTGTAACTCAGAGCCCTTCTCTCTAGTGTCCCTTTTCTATTAATCCTCCATTAATGTATCAAGTTCATTCTTAGGCCATGTCTAGGAAACTATTTCAAAATTAGTAAATTCTACTTAGCTCCCAATTTAGCAAAATCGAACACTACACAGAGGCCTCGAAATTAGTCCGAGGCAGGCTGTGTTAATGTGGATGAACTATCTCAGATTTAAAGCCCCAGGAATAATTGGGGAGTAATTAGTTTGAATTACTCTGGGGAGTACTTATTTAGAAATAGAGGCACTGGCACGTTCACACTACTGTTATTTTGAAATAACTATTTCAGAATTAGCATTATTCCTGATGAAAAGCAGGAGTACAGATTACAAATTCCATGGCCCATTATTTTGAAATAACAGACTTGATAGTGTGGACACTGCTTATAAATTCGACCTTGTGGTGTTATTCCAAAATAAAGCCCTAGGCTACGCCTACATTGGCAAGATTTTGCGCAAATACTTTTAACGCAAGAGTTTTTGGGTTAAAATATTTGTGCAAGAGAGCGTCTACACTGGCATGTGCTTTTTCGCAAGAGATGTGCTTTTGCAAAAGCATCCGTGCCAGTGTAGACACTCTCTTGCGCAAGAAAGCTCGGATGGCCATTTTAGCCATCAGGCTTTCTTGCGCAAGAAATTCATGTTGCCTGTCTACACTGGCCTCTTGCGCAAGAACACTTGCACAAGAGGGCTTTTTCCTGAGTGGGAGCGTCATAGTTCTTGTGCAAGAAGCACTGATTTCTTACATTAGAACGTCAGTGTTCTTGCGCAAGAACTTGCGGCCAGTGTAGACAGGCGGCAAGTTTTTGCGCAAAAGCAACTGCTTTTGCACAAAATCTTGCCAATGTAGACGTAGCCCTAGTGTAGACCAGAACTTAGGTTTCTTTGCACCTACTGCTCACTTACGCAGGCTGTTCCAGAATTTCATTCCTCTAATGATTAGAAATCATCCAAGCTCAAGACTAAACTTGTTGATGGTCACTATCCATTTGTTCTCATGTCAACACTGGACCCTTAATTCAAATAACTCCTTTCCCTCCTTGGAATTTATACTTCTGATCTATTTATAGAGAACAATTCTCTCACCCTTCATTGGAGTAGCCTAAACAAGTAAAGCTCCTTGACTCTACAGTCATAAAGTAGTCTTTTCATTCCCAGTACCCTTTTTCTGTACCTGTTCCAGTTTGAGTGCATCTTTCTTAAACATATGAGACCAGACTCGCCCACACTACTCCAAATGAGGTCTCACCAGTGCTTTATTTAATATCAATAACGCTTTTTTGTCTCTGTCAGAAATACCTTGCCAGATGCATCCTAAGATATCATTAGCTTTTTTCAGGGCTGCATCACCTCAGTGGCTCACAGTCATCTTGTGAGGTCTTTCTCCTCCTCTGTCACTTCCAACTGATGCATCCCCAGTTTACAGCAAAAATTCTTTAGTCCTTAAGTCCATGACCTTGAATTTTATACTATTATATTTTATCCCATTTCTCTTACTCCAGTTTTCAAGATCATCCTGCTCTTGGTACAATACTCAGGTTCTCCTTCTTATTGGCACGTCCTCCTAACTTTGTGTCATCTTCAAATGTTATGAGTACACTCTCACTTTTTGTATCAATGCTATGAATGAAAATGCTAAATATTTAAATGCTTGAAAGAGGAAAAATGATATTTGTTTCCCTGTAAATATAGTCCACATTTATACAAATATTGGTTGTTATTCACACAGAGATGCCTATTAATGTAGGGCAGTTGGCACTGATCTGTTGGGACAAAGCCCAAACAAACCAATAGCATTAGACTACATACAAACCATTAAAAATAGTTATATGGACTTTACAAATATACTGAATAAAATAAATCAGAAAGTGTAAGTCTACAATTGCTCCCCAGTTCGAGCTAGGGATGCAAATGTAGGCAACCGAAATTGCTAATGAAGCAGGGATTTAAATATCCAGCTGTTCATTAGCATGATCTCGCTGGCGCGTTACTCCGTTCAACAGCTGATTCGAACCGGAAAATGTGCTCCTGGATGCGTTAGTTCAAACCAAACCTTGGTTCGAACTAACGTTACTCCTCATTTTTTGGGGTTTGGTTCAAACTAACGCATCCAGGAGCACATTTTCCGGTTCGAATCAGCTGTTGAACGGAGTAACGCGCCAGCGAGATCATGCTAATGAACAGCTGGATATTTAAATCCCTGCTTCATTAGCAATTTCGGTTGCCTACATTTGCATCCCTAGCTCGAACTGGGGAGCAAATGTAGACATACCCAAAATAAATTCATTGACTTTTATAGTGCCTCTTTAATAACAAAACCTATAAGAATAGGTTAGCTACAATGGCCTAGTCAATGTGGTTAATTCCATTCTGTTTTACTAAATCTCTCAACATATTCAGTTGGATGTAGTTTCTTTGTCAC